TAATGAAGATATGATCCGCAGTGCTCTGCGTGCAATTGCATCCTTGAATCGAATAAGGTTTGGCTTTTCTATCACATAAATCCCCTCTATTCGAAGGCATAATGATGATTATTCCAAGACATTAATAATGTTGTTGAGCCGAATGGGCGTGTTTCTGTGCAGCGGGGGAGATTGCAGCATCAAGTTGAAGAACCTCATGAGTGAAATATCAAAATCCCCAACATTATGGGACAAGTATTACTCCATTCGGAATGAGTGAGAGATGATGCGTTTGGATTATCTGAAAGGAGGGGAATAATATTTGTTGTTGTGATAGCTGCAAGGGTAGACGAGAGATAAATGGCAATGAAAAAGAAAGTGGGCTCAAGAAAATTTTTAAAGATATTATTATTATTGGACGTTGTATGGGTTTGGTTCAAGTGCAGTCGGTGTATCTTCATATATTATAACATTTCTTCTCACCTTTTTTATTTTCTTATTAAGTGAAATGAAAGAGATAAATGCACCGATTAGCAAGTTTTACCAACTACTTAACGTGCATCCATAATTAGCCTTCGTAGATTTAGAAAAAAAAATCATCTGACTTTTGTTTGTTATGTAAAAGTCAGTTTCGGGTAAATGTTTGTTTTTGAGAAATTAGTCCTTGAATTTTTAAATTTTAAAAATTAATAGATTGATCTTTATATCTTTATATTTTGATGATAGTGATAAAATGGTTTAAAAAGGAAAATTATGAAATCGGATAATAGATTGATAATGTTGTAATTATAAGAGTTTTTGGTTTAGTGGTAAGGTTTTAGAATTTTAAAATCCTAGTTCAAGTTTCATTCTGAGTGGGTTTGGTTGTATAGCTAAATTATAATTTATTAATTGATTGTTTAGTGATGTAATAATTGATTATATAGTTATAATATTTGATTATGAGTGTAACTTCAAAATATATATATATAAAAGAAATAAAAATTTAATAAATTTATTTTAAATTTATTTTTATGTATATTAATTATTATGTATATTTGTTGTTATTTTTGTGATGATAGTTTTTAAATCAATAAATAGTTTTTATATTTTCAAAAAAATATTTGTTGGGATGCAATTAAACTTATAAATTAAGTTGATAATTAGATCTACAAGCTAGGTTTCATTCGAATTGAGTTTTAAATATGATTTTTAAGGTCAAGGTTCAATCCGATCAAATTATTATTTTATCAAAAAAGTATTATTATTTAATTTGCATTTAAAATATATTTAAAAATATTAAAATATTAATATAAAAAAATATATATTTTAATTTTTAATAGTAAAATAGGTTTATTCGGGTTTTTAATTACTAGTCAAATTGGACTTTGAGTGAGATTTTGAAAATATTGTTTAAGTTTGGATCGGTTCACGAAAATATGTAGTTGCGATCCAAATAATTAAATTTATTATTTTATATTAATATATGATATTGTGAAATTTATAGTATTTCACCGAAATTTGTATATTAATATTTTATAATTAAAAACACTTGATTTTTGAAAAAATATTTTATGATGATGAAATATTGTAAAAATAAATGATAAATACATAATGAAATATTTTATGATGATGTATAGTCTAGTTGAATCTTTCAAATAGAAAATAAATAAATTTGAAGAAAACTAGGCAATTTTCATTTTCAAAATACAAACTAATTGATTCTATTGTAAATCTGAACCCAAAAAATATTTACTAACAAAATTAAAGGTAAAAAGGTAATTTTATTTTTTTATGATTATCAAATTTCTAGTATCAAGTAAAAAAATTTTATCATCTTTTTTTTTTTTTTGTAATTTTATCTTTGATTTAATAATAGTTGATAGCTGACATTTAACGGTTACATTAATGTTTTTGTCGACGAAAGTGCTGTTTTGTTATGATCACAGAAATATAGGATCGATATGTTGTTTTGTAAAGTTTAAGGATCGAAATGAAATCAACTCAAAATTTAAGGACCATTAAAATAATTTTCTCTATTCTTTTTTTTTTTTTTGGAAAATATTGATATAGAAAATATTTTTATGGTTTCAACGATTTAATAAAAATATTTTTCATTTTTCAATTTTTTTTTTAAAATTGACATTTTTGACAAATTGTCTCGAGTTGAATTAAGCTCATGTGACTAATTCAGTCAATGCATATTTACTTTTAGAAATTATTTTTCTCTTTTGAAAGATGGAAGACAGCTTTCAAGTTTTTGGCCTCATTCCTCGCCCACCAGCAAATCGAATTTTGTTGACTAGAAATTTTTCTATCAAATAAATATTAAAAAATATAAAAATAATTTTTTTTAGATCTAAAGAAAATTTTGAACGGTTAGGGTTTGCAAATGAATTAAGTTAATTTCATTTGACAACTCATGAATGACTTTAATTTAAATTATGAGAAGATAATTTCTTATTAATTTATCAGATTCGGTAAGAACCTTTTCTGTTAAAAAAAAGGACTAATTTAAAATATATATGATTAACAAGTAATAATATAACATCTATTAAAATCATCTATTGTTTTTAAAAATTATTTTTTTAATAAATTTATACTTGCTTAAAAATGGAGTCATGGTAAGTTTGAGAAATGAAACTTATTAATAATTTTTAATGAAATAAAATTTTTAATAAAATTTATTTGGGCAAGTTTAGGACATAAGTGATAATAAACAGGTTATCAATAGTGTGACAATGTTATTTTCATTAATAGATTTGTTCATGATGTGTTAGACGGTTGGTTCGAATTTTAAAATCAATTCAAAATTTTGAAAAATATAAATATAAATATTAAAGTTGTCAAATGGGTTTGAACAAATAAAAGAGATCTAATAAAAAAAATAAAATTAAACTTAGGTTTCACCATTTAAGGTTTGAACTTGATTTAACTCAAAAATTTAAAAAATTTTTTTTTTATCATAATGAGATGAAATTCATTTGCTTTATTTTTTATAACGGATAAAGTTCATTTATTTTATTATTTATAATATGATAAAATTCATTTTTTTTATATAAAATAATAATTTAATTTTAAATTATATTCAACAAAATTAAATTAGAGTCCAAATGACTCATAAATTTAATCAAAATTAATTAAATTAGTTAAATTAATAATTTATAAAAAAATAAAATTTTTTTTTTTAATTTTAAATATAAGTACTTTGAGTAGATTTAGACTTTATTTTTACATATAAAAACGAGTTTAAATAAAAAATAAAACTTAAAAAATCAAGTCGAGTTAGACTTTGATTTATTTAAAATACTAAAATATTATACCAAGCTCATCTGAACCCGGCCCGACCTGGACAAATTGTCAACTATATTTAAAAATTTAATTCCCGACCTCATATATCATTTTGTAACAATTTTGTAAAGAATTATCCGTCCGAATTTTACTCAAAAAAAAAAAAAAAAAAGGCGAAAGGCGACACTGGCGTTATCACTCTTGATTAAGAGTTGGTGACGAAATTGTTAAATCGTCGCAACCGTTAACGACGATACAAACTTGACGAACAGGTACGAAAAAATTGTGACATTTAGTGTAGTGCCAGGACCAACACTTAGCAGCAGTGCAGCCAGCAGCAGTTTATGCAAGATGGCTCTCAAGAAGTCAAGATTTCACTCTCACCAGTTTCTGCAGCAGGTGCAGCATAGTTTTTGCAACAATTTAAAAAAAAAAAAGGTAATTTTAAATTAAATACCAATGCATATTTTCAATTACTTGGTTGTGCTTGATCTTGATTAAGCATTTGAATTTGATTGAAGTTGAATTGAGTGAAAAGAGTTAATAAAATCTAGAGTTGATGAAATCTAGTGACAGCTATACGGCTGTTTAAATCCTTGTCACTGATGTTATTCAGCGTCACTATCCAAAGTAAGCTTTCATGACCACAATGCTCAAGCCATAAAGAATTCAGTGGATTTCACTATCTTCTCTGTGTCTTATAAAGCCAAATGTATCCTTCCTACATTTGCATTGTGATCTTGAAATGAACACATCCATTACTCATACCATAGTTCTCAAACATTTCCCACATTGATTTTCTTGAAACGCACCCAACATTTGCAACATTTTCTCTTAATTACGATTTTCAATGTAAAAAAGAAATTTTAAATTGATTTAAAAAGTCACTATTTTACTACAGTAAATGAAAGAAAAACACACATAACAAAGTATTTTATTGTGGTGCAGGCCATTATGCAATTGTCAACGACCAAAAAATGCAGCTCCATTCCTCTTGGGCAAGTATGTTGCATCCTATTGTGGGTTCCATGCCAGTCTTTTAGCAAACATATTAATTGATATTTTATATATATGCAGTGGTGTTAGAGGGAGACTTATAGTGAAGTATGATGCAGGAGGGGGCCAAAACTCCAACTTCAGGACATGTTTGAGACATGTTTCTTAGCAGATGGTAACAAGAACATGCAAACCACTTCTCTACTAATTTCCTAATGGATGCCTTCCCTTTTCATAGGTCACTTTTTTTTCCATTTTGACTTAATCTTTGGGAGCTTGATTATGTTTCATCTTCATGTATCACATCATAGTAGTTAGTTCTGCTAGCCCCCCCCCCCCCCTCCCCTCTTTAGCAAGAAAGCATTAGCTAGCTCTCCACTAGCTACTTTCATATTCCTTTCCTGTCATTCGAAGAAAGCAATAAGGTGCTCTTTCAGATCAATGAATGACATTGATGTGTGGATAAAAACCAAACATTAGGAGAATGCATTGAATCCTGGTAAATGGGTCAAGACCATTTTGTTTTTCAAAAGAGGATGATGGGAATGAAAAAAGGTTGCGGGTGCTTGAATTTTGAACTTGTTAAATAGTATTTTTTTAATAGTAACTGTATCAACTAATTGAATTAAGTATTGGGTTCGGTTAAGACCAAAATTGATAGACCCATTGGGACCCTTGACAAGAAATATGCGAATCTTCTTTTTCTTCCTGTTTTTGCAGAGTATATATTTTACCTGAATGAAAATTACTATCTATGAGAGATATCAAATGTATTACTTGTTGAAGACACATTGGCTTTAGCGAAAAAGTCTGGGTAGAAACAAACGAGATACATTTAATTTCCAGTAGCCTCTAAGTAACAGCCTAACAAACTATGGTGGTCCTGCATGCATATTATATATCTTCGACACTTCTTTACACAACCTATATACCTCTTAAAGAGTCTTTTTTATGGTATGATAGTTTTTTTTATCTATAATACAAGATAGCAATAGATAATTGCCTTGAAATTATATTATATATATTTATCATTAATGTTCCATTTTATGGTATATTCTCATCTCCAACATCTTTTGAAAGTTTCATCAAGCTATAATCACTCAACCTCCCCTCAACTGCTTCATTCTGTGCAGTGTCTGGTGGCGAAGAATTGTGAGAATGCCATCTAGCCCAGAAGAGATAGTTTAGGAAGTTTAGAAAGCTAAGGACTGCTAGCAGCCAGTAGAAATAGTCGAGCCTGTCTTTGTTGAGATCGTTGTCACTAAGCCAACCGCCTTTGGAAGAAGCTGATGTGATCTTGTTTACCAGGGAAACAAGCACCGAGCTTAAATAGAAGCCAAATGAATAAGAGCAATAGGTTATGGCAGTCAAAAATGCTTGCATCCCTTTCAATGACTGTTTGTAGAAGAACTCAATGAGGCCAACCGCAGTAAGCATTTCGGATAATCCGAAGATTAAGAACTGCGGGGTGATCCAAAAGATGGATATTATTTTGCCAGAATCTGTGAATGAGTCCCTTCTCTTCTTCTCCATAAGGGCTGCGGCAATCATGGAAAACGTTGCAAGAAAAAGACCCGCACCTATCCTTTGTAGAGGAGAAATTCCGGATTCATGACCAGTCAGTTTTCTTGCAAAGGGGACAAAGAATTTGTCGTATAGAGGGACTATGAAGATAAGTATGATGTAAGGGATGGACTGAAGGGAAGCTGGAGGGATATGGAAAGATTTGGTCAGTTGGGTGTCCATGGCACTTCCTTGTTGGACTGAGAATGTTTGGAGCTGAGCCAAAATGGTATTGAAAACAATGGTACAAGCAAATATTGGAATAACTGAAATCAGTATCTTCACTTGCTCCACTTGGGTAACAGTGCACAATCTCCATGGACTTTCCTTTGTATTACTCCCATCCTGAACTTTGATGCACGCCTTGTCCAAGAACCTGACATGTATTTGGCCATTTTCATCAGTTATGGATCCTCATGATCATGATATTTCTATTTACCACGACGTCAAAAGATGAAACTCATAGAAATACTATGAACTATTCTGAGATGAGGTTTCTTGCAAGAAATCCCAAATTACCTGAGCCTTTGGGTGTGAATCACATTGCCAGATTCAGAATGCAGATGAGAAGCTGATGCTGAACTGTTTGGCTCTCTGTTTTGATTTCCATTAACCATCTGTGGATTAGAATTAGATGGACAAATCTGCTTCCTCTTTAATATGGCCGCTACAAAAACCTGAAGATCATATGTCCAAAGAAGAATCAGACTTGTCCAGTGGATTAGTATTCATTAATTATAACAGAGATGATCTGAGCTGAATATGTATGTGTGTAAATTGATTACTTGAGCAATGGGGGTGAAGATGTTTCTTTGAGGAGGTTTGTTTCTGTAATAAAGTGTCCCAGAAACCAAGCTGATTAGTCCCATGGCCATGGCGGCTGCGGAGAGTCCAAATCCAACATCCATACCGGCATGAGTTTGGATCCACACGAGAACAGTAAGGGCAATGAGTTCGCCCATGGAGAAGGCAAAATAGGCAGCATTGAAGTAGGTTGAAAGCTTCTTGGAGTGGGAGGGGTTGGTTTGAATATTGAACTGATCAGCCCCATGAGCAATCATGTTGGGTTTAACACATCCACTTCCTAATGCCACCAAGTAGAGTGCCACAAAAAAAATCAAGGCTTTTAAGCCCTTTGCTTCCACGCAATTATCTCCATCAATTACCACGTTGCACTTTGGCGGCTTTAGCTGCGGAAGATGAGCTTGGACTGAGAGTAATATGAAGCCCTATAATTTTTTTTTTTTCAGTCCACAAATAATGTTTAATTAATGTAAGATACAAATTAATACCGAAATACAAATATGCATGGACTTGTAAGTTTAGTGATCAAAGTTTAAATTTTGATAATTCTAAATAAAAAAAAAAACCTTTTCATACTTTAATTTTCAAAATCATATAGGAAAATTAGGCATAGACGTATAGTCGTATAGACAGTAGTACTTGAAAACACTTTGATCATCATGCAAAAGAGATCAATCAATTTCCCTTTGATTTTGTAAAAAGACAACAGTGCTGGCCAAACTTCTACTGCATAAGAAAAGTGAAGCCACTATTGTTTAAGGGAGAGAGAGACAAAAAGGGGAGTTGAAAAAAAAAATAAAAAAATAAAAAAAGCTTACAGAAAGCTCCACAAAGCCAAAGATAAGCATGGTCCAGAAACTCCCAAGATAAGAGTCTGAGAGGTAACCACCAAGGAGGGCCAAAAGAAAGATAGTTCCCACAAAGTTTGTCACTATGTTTGCTGACTTTGACAATGGGAAGTGCATCTCATTTATCACATATGTTATAAGGTTGTTCCCTACTGCTGCTATTGCCATTATCTCAAATGCTTGAAGCCCTGCATTCATCATTCATACAACACACACTCACATCATTATAAATATATATATATATGTATATATACTCCATTAGCACTAAAGTGTTCCATTATGATGAGAGAGAATGACAACTGTAGCAAGTTTTTCTTTTTTTCTCAATGAAATGTAACTACCATTCTATTTGTTTTATTTGAATTTGATTATTAAAATTAAAAATCTAACATCACGACGACAATATTATCATTCTAAAATTAATTTACTCAACATATCATACCATAAAAAGGGGAGATAAATATATATAATATAGTTTCAACTTTTAAATAAAAAAAAAAAAAAATTGAAATAGTTTGTGGATAAGTAAGAAACTAGATATATACACGGTCACGTAAATGATGATAACTATACTTTTGTTTGTACATAAGAGGAATGAGATAAGAAAAAAAAAATTGTGTTAAAAATTCGAATTTTTTAAAGTGGCTGCAAGAAATCAAACTCAAGTTTATAAGCATAAAGACAAGATTCTCAACTCTTGCCTTAATTGTAAAAAAAAAAAAAAATGGAAAAAGAAAAGGCTTGGAATGAGTAGAGAAATAGAAGAAAGAGAACAAACCAAGAACAAATGCAGCAGCTTTCATGCCGCCATGTTTATTTGGGTTGGAAGGCCTGCCTCTCCAATCAACTGTGCTGTCTTCTTCCGTCACCCACATGTTCATCTCCCCTTTGTTATTCCCACTTCTTTCTCCCATTTCTCTCTGCCAAAACCAGTCTCTTTAGAGAGAGAACAAAGCAGCTGCTTTTGTCTTAGTCTGTGCTGAATTTGAGGCAGGCAAGTGGGTTGTCCTCAATTTATAACCCCCAAAGCCCAGAGCCCTAGGGGGGGGGGTCCTATAAATTCTACGGAAATTAATGGAACTCCCTCAGCCCCACACCCACGATGAGCGTGTTGAAAGCACTTGCGTCTCAAAATGTGAAATTAAGAGTGGTATAAAGAAATATAACGTTGGACCAATAGTTTATAACTATGTTTTATTTTTATTTATTTATTAAATTTAATAAATAATTATAAATAATATTTTATAATTTATTAATTAAACGATAGATCACGAATAATTATGTTTGTTTATATATCTAGTGTTTAATCCTATTATAGCTTATTTATTAAAAAATAAAAGTCAAGTGTTTGAATTTTCAAAATTTTCAAAATTTTAGTTTATGTATGAAGTAAATTTGAGTTTTTATATTAAATTATAAATCAAATGTTTTTCAAAATCTTTAATGAAAATAATTTTACATTATCACTGTCCTCTTTAATAATTTATAAAATTATATTATGTCACACTATTTTTTATTTTATTTATTTTTCTATTTAATTAATTTATTTTTTCTTATAAGTAACAAAAATATTTCTTTATTTTATTTATTTTCACTTAAAATTTGTGATTTAATTTAATAAATTGATTTTTTTATTTATTAAAATATACAAAAATACTATCAAATAATTTTTTAATATTTTACATATATTATTGTGCAGTAAAAAGTATAAAAATAATTAAAAAATGAATATTCTATTTATAATAAAAATTTCTTCATTAAATATGTTGATTAAATGTTGATTCTCACTGCATAAAAAAAAAATTTTAAGATTAAAAATCTTAAAAAATAAAAGCATGTTTTTCACACTCCTTGAATGTAGCGTGTGAATTGTATGCGCAACCATATGATTTTTCCCTTTGTTTTTATTTTTTTTATTTTCGTCATATGACGGTGGTCCACATTCAACCCCTATTCTTTTTTCTTGACAATTGATTAAATTTATGGAGGAAAGAAAGCTAATTACTAAATTCATGCTCATAAGAAAAATACAAAGAAGATATTTAATGTTCAAACCATTGTCATTGTCAAATTTTTTTGGTAGATATGATGATTTGTATCGTTATATCATATAAAATGTTATTTTGTATTATATTTTATAAAAAATTCATATATTATAATTTATATTGATATGAAAATATTATATATAATTTTTTAATTTTATTAAATTTATTTATAATTTTTTAAAAATTTTAAATTAAATTAAATTATTTTCATTTCACGTGATCGTATCGTGTTTCATCTAACATGAAATGGAGACCTACAAGACTTGTGTACGCTAGTGTCTAGCCTTTTTCCATCCACTTTCAAATTCTGGTACGCACCAATGGATTTATTTCATTTATATTATCTCATCAGAGTTATAAATTAGCGTATAGATTCTTTGCAGTTTTTGTCATATAAAAATAAATATTTTTCACTCATGCATGCAGATAAAGCCAATTTCCTAAAATGATCTACGTATATCATTTATGTTAATTTTATATTTAGAGAAAAAAAAATTTACAATCAAGGAAATAAAATTTATTTTCGTCAAGAAAATTGCAATGTTGACAAATCATATTAGTCAAAATCCTAAGAAAACAAATATTGACCATTAAAAATGTGTTATGAGTCATGTTATTTTTTATTTTTTAAAAAAATTACTTTAAACTTAAAAAAATTATAAAATAAAAAGCATTTTTTAATTAAAAAATCTTAAAATTTTTAGTTTTGAAAAGAAAATTAAAAAATAAATTTTTTACTTAAATTTTTTATTTTTGAAATGAAATGTAAGAAAACTTCAGCAAATAAAAAACTGAAAAATAAAGAAAACCTTTTTTACTTTTTATTTTCAAATAAAAAATTAAAAATTAAAAAAAATATCGTAATCACATTTACTATTATGCCATCACTATGCAAATATTAAAAAAAGTCAATAAGGTTTGACTAACATATCTGTCCATGGTTGGGCATAATACATTCAGTTCATCAATACATCATGGCGGAACTAGAGCATGCTTTAATGTATGCATCTAAGATTGTAATTTTTTATTTCTAAAGTTATAACTTTTCGAATGAACTTTGAACATATTTAAAATTTTATTTCACTTTGACAAAAAGATTTTTTGAGTTAATCATTCTCAAAACTAATGAGATATTTGCTCGATAACGTAAGGTGAGGAATCCTATTTTAACTATTTCTATAATTTCATATGTTTCATGTTATATATAATATCCATCCTATCGAGTTTATTTGGTTAGGATCGTGTAGTATCAAAGTAATTACATGTATCCGATCATGATCAGTATAATTATTCTTATAACAAGCATTTACATATTTAGCATAAGTATATCCATAGTTCAATTTATAAAATCAATTTCTTAGTTTATAAGTTGACTAAGAATACCAATGATTCTCATCTGATTGATAAACATGTACCAATCTTAACAATTTAAATCAACGTTCATTTCATGATGAAATATTGATTAGAAATAATATTTTTATGCAATAAAGATCTTATAATTATAATTTTTTATACTTTTTTTTTGCAAAACTTATTTATTTCAAGAACTTTATCCTTAAAAGCAATTGATAATAAATGAAAATGAACTTAAAAATAAAAATAAAAATAATATATAAATGTAATGCATAATATAATAAATTATTTTATCGTCAATCGATCATAAGGTATTCATTAACACAATGTGTACAAATTGTTTAACAAAATAAAATTTTATTATTTAAATATTGAATTGATAATTAAACATAAAAGTAATTATATTATTATAAATAAAAAAGATGAAAATTTTCACTACCTAAAAGGCGGACATGACCCTTTGTCCAACAATAAAGTTAAAAGTTGAGAAGAAAGAGGATATGCCGACCCTGAGGGTTGGTGTGTTGTGCTGTGTGATTTGAAAATGCTGAAATAAAAATGTGAAAGTATTGGATTATTATTATATTGGGGGATTAATCTGGGTAACAACAAAGACAAGAAAAACAGAGTCAAAAGGTTGTCGGTGTTATTAATTAAACAACTAAAGAGCAATGGGTTTATCAACATTTGTTGGTTCGAACGAGAAAAGATTTAAGTTTTTTATTAAATAAGATTTTAATTTTAAATTTTGTGAATGAAAAAAATAAATTAAAAAAAATTATTTTGAGATTCAATCCGATTCAATTTTAAATTAATCAAAACTCAAAATAATTATTAAATATCGAAAAATTTAATACCAAAAAAATAAAAAAGGGATTGATGTTCAAGTTTTTGCTTCCGTTGGCTTAATCCAATATTTCCTTTAGTAGGTGGTGTTATCCCTTTTGTGTCATTCACACCACCATATCACACAATAGTATCCCTTTTGTTTTGCATTTAGAAAATATTACCTTTACATTAAATAAGAAAATTTAAGTAAATATATTATATAATAAATTTGCCCCACTGAAAAAAATCCTGGATCTGTCCCTGGGTTGATTGAAGTATAAAAAAAAAAAGATATTTAATAAATTTAAAATTAAAATATCAAACTCTTGCAACCTCGTTCTATTTCTTTTAGTAATCTATTTTACGTTTTAAAAAAAAAAACTATAATTAAAATACTAAAACTTTGTCTCACAAATCACGACACAATCTTAAAAGCAAACTTTTTAGTATCCTTTAATATTTTCTGAGTTATTGTTTAAAAATTTCACTATGACACTTGGCAAAACCATATTGGTTGGTCGGCAAAAAAAATTCATAAGCATAGATGATTTTTGTTGGGATTAAATGAAGTATAAAAGAAAGTAATATTCAAGGAATTTAAAATTAAAATATCAAATTTTTGCAATCTTTTTTTATTTTTTAATGACCTATTTTATGAACAAAAAAAAAAAAACTGTAATTAAAATATTAAAACTTTGTTTCACAAATCACAACACAATCTTAAAAGGAAACTTTTGGTTTTCTTAAATATTTCTAGTTATTGTCTAAAAAGAAAACATTTGACTTAAAGGTTATAGATTTATGTATGACACTTGGCAAAACCTTATTGATTAGTCGGCCAAAAAAATCAAAGGCATAGATAATTTCTGTTGTGGGGGGTTGAATGAAGTACGAAAGGAAGAATCCCGCTCCTTCCCTTTAGGCTTTTGAAAGCGGGAGACAAAGTGGAGACATACCATTTGAATTCCACGTGGAACCCAATTACAAATGGGCCAATTATTATCATCCAATCAAAGGCCATGAAGTTTAGGTGATGCAACGAGAAACTGCCACGTATATCCTACAACAATGAAGCTGACTTGAAGTTTGACTTGAGGCATGCCTCTTCAATTGGAAGAATTTGTAACACCGATGACAACATCCTTCTTAAATTCAGGTTTTGTGGAAGCTGACATAACTCTACCATCCTGAGAGTAAATTATTTATTAAAAAAGGAATAAAAATTAAAATTTTACCCTCAAATTTATTAGTAGATTTTTTTATTTTAAATTTAGGTTAAATTATTTTTTTATCTTTTAAAAATTAATTTGATTAAAATTAATAAATATAATACAAAAAATATTATTTTAATAATTTTAAGAGATTATACAAACATAAAACCTGTTCTATATTTATTTAATTAAAAATAATACTCATAAAATATTATTCTTTGAGTAACTTAAGAAAATAAAATATGTAATTTTTTTCTTTATCTTTGTATTTCTAACTTTTATATAATTTTGATTTGTTTTAAAATTTTTGTTGTGATTAAAAAAAAGTAAAAAATCAATTCTTTTTATTATTATAATTAAATTCATTTTTTACAATCACATTATACATCATTATAAAATAGCTCATTTTCTATTTGTTTTTCACTTTACAATTTTATGTTTTTTTTTTCCCAAGGCATAGTATTTTTAGTCATAAAATATTTGTATAAATCTTTTAATAAAATACTAGTAAAACTTTCACACTAAATTATTAACCGAAGGCTAGAGATAAGAGATTTTAGGTTCGAGTTTGACCAACAGTGGATCCATGACAAATAGTAAGGTGTCTATGATATTTTAAAAAAAAAATGAAAATTTGAAGGAAAATTTTCCTTTCGACAGCCTCAAAAAAATTTTTTGGGATACCCGCAAAGAATGATTTGTGAAATAAATTTTTTATTTTTA